TGATAAACATCAAATCAAAATTTGTAGCATTCAAGATCACCCATTCATGGATTTCAATTCTATAGGAAGCATATCATTTATGTTTTCTGAATATAAAAAAATGTTAGCAAGAAACCCTATTTTTCTATAAATTTCAGGGCTAACTATTGTATGCATACCTTGTTTCCTTTTTAGTTCTTTTGAAAGAAAAAATTAAATACTAGGAATTCTCAATCTTACTTCTTCAGTTGTGGGACGATCTTTTGGATCAAATGTAAGTAAGCGCTCAAGTACGCGAAGAGCCCCGAGATCCACATTAGGGAACTTCTGTGAGAAAGGAACCGGTGGCTTTTTACGCACGCTACTATAGTATCTCCTTGCCTTGTCATTTCTAATCTTCCAGGTAATGATAGGTGCACCAATAACATTAAAAGTGGCTAAATATTCATGATAACAAATGATGATATAAAACCATATCTGAATACAGGTGGAACTAATGAAAAGCGCATAATATTTTTCTTTAGCACCTAGACTTTGCTAATACGATCAATTCCATGAGCTTATAAAACATGCATAACAAAAAAAGAGATAGTTCTAGTAAAACCGTAACTTGATATGGAAACAACAATTTAAAGAGAAAGGCGCTCATGAACCATAACAGCATATCCAAATGTCATAACCGAGGCATTACTTTTCAACCCTAACAAAGCAATGTGCACAAATAACACCCATAAAGAACAAAATTGAAACATAGGTGTAGGTTAACCACTAAAGCCTTGAGTTTATGCTCAGGTGCTATTGTTTGTTTATCATCTCTGTTACAAATTTCATTAGACTCTGATGAAATAAGATTAATGAACTCTGCAAGAGGATTGAAGTTTACGTTAGTTACACAAAAACAAAAAACAATTAATACTATCATAACATTATGGTTAGAGACAACAAAATTCCAATGATATGAGAGAAGTGAATATAAATGGTCAATCTACTCGCCAAACAACATTCTAACAAGAAAAAGTTTTCCACCTATATCTTCAATGACAACAAATAGTGGTATTATAACCAAATAAGATTACACATTATATGAAAATCTGGAATCAGGTTTTAAAGTCACATTAACAATATGAAAAAGTAGATACCATGTTCCTCTTCTACACTTCTTTGAAAAAGATTTGATTTTCATGCAATAATAAGAGGTTTTCCGATATGCCAAGACAGTAGCAAGTACCTGAATGTTGTGCACTTTCAAAAACCTGCAAGACAGGCCCTGACAGAAGATCTACAGGTGTTCTACATTTTGAATCTTCCAATGTAATAGAAGCACCAGACTGGAGAAGAACACTCGCTACAGCAAGATGACCGTAATGCATAGCCCTATGAAGGCTACTCCACCTAGATTCTCCGTCCTGGAACAAGGATTACGCAAAGTAAAAAAAAGTGGCTTGAAGCTAATTGCACCATCATACATCTGATATCTCTACGACTTCATGATGTTTAAAAACAAGATCATCGATGTTCTAAAGTATGATACTTGATAGACATCCACAACGAACTTGAAAACATGTGATCAACAAAAGGATAAGAATTACACACCCTAGCATCAGGATTAGCACCAGAAGCTAGAAGCCTTCGAATAATGGGAATATTATTTCTCCAAGTTGCAATATGAAGAGGAGTCAGACCCAAACTGTTCCTCGAATTGATATTACTTCCATTCTTCTTCAATATCATCAATGCAGAATCTACATCAGGCAATGACCCTTCTCCCACAACATGCCACAAATCTTTATATGAGGCACCAGATGAGCCTTTTCGCATGGATTTTTGGAGGCTCTGTTTATGTCCTTAAGGTGAATTTAACATATCCACAACACTTTAAATCCAGAGATCACTATAAATACTCCTAAAAGTTATTGAAAATTCAAGTTTTGAAGTGACAGTCCCTCCAACAGATTACGACAAGAGCCAAAGATTCTCCAAATGTCTATAAAGAAGTTAGCAAAAGGCAAGAGGTAATAACTTCCTAGCTACTTTATTCCATCTAGTCTATATTTTAACAAGAAATCAAAAAGCTCTAGATTCTAGAATCTAGTTCCATTTATGTGGAGAGTTTGTCAATAACAACATATCATCCCATCATCATCTTTGATGTATTTACAAACATATCTCCTACAAAAAGGTGAACCGATGTGCTGCATTCAAAACTCATTGTGTCAGCATAAAATACCCTGTAGAGGAAATATGATAACAAAAGAAAAATGAATGATCAACATTAAAAACAACTTAATCACTAAATAGCCAACCAAAATGGAAAATGAAATAAATTCATATGCTAAGAGCCAAAAATGCAAAAACTGTGTCGGAATTAGAGATAGAGAAGATGAAGAAGACAATAGATGTAGACAGATTCATTTCTAGGAAATTTTAATGGTTGATCTAAATAAACAACACAAGCAAAACCTCTAGAACAAAACCAAAATGCAAACTATGAAGCAATAGTAAAAGAGAATAACAGATCAATCATAGTAAACTCAATTTCCAGATCCAAAATTACATGAAATTAACAAAAACCCTTCATTAGAAATCAAACCAACAAATCAAAACTTCACATAAAAAATAGTAGCTTACCAAATCAATCAATAAAAAAACCAAAAACACAACACCAAGAAGAAAAAGGAAATACCCATTGTAAAATTCTACATAAATTTCACAAAAACAACACATAAATGCAGAAAAGACATCATTTTTCTATTGGAAAGATCAAATCTTTTAAAGCTAACCAGAAAGAGAAATTCCCCCCTGAGAAATCGTTGGATGTTAGAAGAAGAGAAATTTGAACAAAAATTAAGAAAGAGAGGAAGCTCGCGGGGGCAACAGACTCACCGAGTTACTGAGTAAGTACGAGGGGAATTTTTTCCACAGATGGAAATAAATGCCAAAACGAGTGAAGCGATTCGTGATCTGAGTCAAGTGGGGGATGAACACGAAGGAAGACATCGATATATGGAGTTAACAGAGATCATTGGCGCTTCACGATAACAGAGGGGGGAAGCCAGTGGACTGATGCAAAGAGAAAAAAGGGGAAGCATGAAGCGGGAAAGGATGAAAATAATGGGGGAAATTAAAAGACGACTTTTACAGATGACACACAATTAAAAGTGTACTCCGTGTTTTTGTAATTTTTTTGGATTATGACTATTAAATATGACACACATAATTGTAAGTCATAAATCGTTCAAATTTTAAAAAACATGACATTTTTTATGACACATATTTTTTGCAAGTCATAAATTAGCGTGTGTCATAGTTCGTGTGTCATTAAAAGTATATTTTCTTGTAGTGGTGGTTATATATGCTACCACTTGATTAGATGAAAAATATTAAATTTAAATAAAATTGTAGTAAAATTTATAGAATATGTAAATATCAAAAATTAAATTTATAATTATATTAATCTATTTAACGGTCACACCAATTTATTTATTAATTATTGACAATTTATGGTACGATTGATAAAAATAATTAGATGATATAATTGATAAGATTAAAAAATCAGTCCTCATATTGAAAAAAATTATTAAGTAGTAGTATAAATATAGTTTACTATTGGCGATATAAAAATAAAAAAAATTCTATATTCGCCATCTCCCATTGTTTTTATTTGGTAAACTACGTCAATAGTCATTAATGTTTAGGTAAGAATTCATTTCATTGATGTTTGAAAAGTTACAAATCTTTTACTAATGTTATTATTTATTACAAAATGGTCACTAATGTTATCGTTTGTTACAAAATGGTCACTCGACGTTAACAGTCGTTAAGAAATTATTACTACAATAACAGAATACTGACGTGACACATTAAACTAGTTGACTCAGCATGTTTGACCGACCTTTTGACTCTTCTTCTTCTTCTATCAGCTGATCGGATTCATATCTACAAAACAACGATTTTACTCGATAAGCTTAATATCTATAGGTTATTAAGTCTATTGCAACACCTTGTTTTTATTAAAAGAATTATTTTACTGTCTCATATTCTCATTCATGTATATCAGTATATACGCATACGATAATTGCGACGACAATCTTATTTCATGTTATTCGAACTGAGACTACCAGGAATAATGTCCCAGACCGCAATAGCCAGAACCTATATTCAAATATATATATATGGAAACACCATTGAACAACTTAAAGCCTTAGTGAAAGAGCCAACAAGTGTTAAATGAAAGGGTAAGAGAATTATGTGATTCTTACATATTATCATAGAATTCACAAAAGCAGCAAATGGTGAAATGTAAAATACCATTATGACAGTCTAAATGAAGAACGCTATGGGTTTAAAGAATTATTGTTGACATCAACCTTGGTAGAGAAGCTTTACCTTGAGAACAAATTCCATTGATTCAGCGATGAAGCCCAACCAACCACCATTTTTCTGCGTGGCAGCGTCAGTCGACCTGATAGCGGTGGCGACTTGATCCGCTTTGCAGGAGGCTCTCAGCTTTGGTAAAAAGTGCTTGGAAATTGACGGAAGAGTCAAGTAAAGTAATCGGAGGGATACTATTTAATTATTTGGCTCAACACTTCTTACATATTTTTTGCATTTTTTGCAGGACATATCCCTAAGCCATCGTCAAGGTTGTGGAGTTTGCTTTGGAGATATGAATCCGATCAGCTGATAGAAGAAGAAGAAGAAGAAGAAGAAGAGTCAAACGATCGGTCAAACATGCTGAGTCAGTTTATTTAACATATCACTTCAACATTCTGTTACTGTAATAATGATTTGTTAACAACGTCAAGTGACCATTTTATAACAAACGATAACGTTAGTTATCATTTCGTAACAAACGATAACACTAGTAATGTATTTGTAACTTTTCAAACATAAGTAGTGAAAACGAACAATTACCTAAAAATTAGCGACCATTGACATAGTTTACTCTTTTTATTTTCCTTAAATTATTATATAACAACGCCGTTTTGGCGATATATCGTCTCATAAACCCTAAAGTAAACCCTAACACACTGTCTTACTTTGTTTCCTCCATATCATTCTTGTGTTTCTTGAACCAAAGAGAAAAGTCATTCTTAGGTTTCCCGGTTGCAGAAAAAACAAGGATTTGGGTGGATTTTCTTCTAAATTTTAGTTTAATGTTCAGCATCAATTTAAATGAGTGGTTTGATGGTTACCCAAATTTAGATGGGATTAAGTTAGAAGAGAGTGAATTTGAAGATATTGAGAGCATTGTGGAGATTTGTAAAGAAGCTAGCTTTGAGAGAACCCATGTTGGCGACCTTGGCGCTAATGGGTCAGAGCCGGATTTTGATGGGTTCAAGCCAATTGTTGATGGATCTGCGCCGGTTGCAAGTGAGTCAGACCGTACGGTGAAGGTGGAAGAAGACGAGTCAAAACCAGATGTGGAGCTGGGTTTGTCTATTGAGGAGTCAAAGCCAGAAGATTTTGACGTGTTCAAGCCAACTATTTGTGGGTCTGAGCCGGTTCGAGGTGAATCAGGCTCTACAGTCAAGGTGGAAGAAGAGAAGTTTAAACCCGACGGGATTTCGAGTTTACCTATTGAGGAAGTGATCGGTAAGGTCAGTTTGGATGATGGATTAGAGAGTGGTAGTAGTAGTTCAGAGTCCGACTGCGAAAGTTCGTCGTCATCATCTTCTAGTAGTAGCAGTGATGATGATGATGATGATGACGAGGAGGAGGAGGAGGATGAAGAAGAAAAAATGAAGGTGGAGGCTGTGGATGGTGTAGATGAACTTGAAGAAGGTGAGATACTAGATAGTGATGAAGAGGTGGCCGTTGATGGAACCACCGATGAGGAGGAGGAGGAGGAGGAAACAGACGATATCCTTAGTGCGTTAGATATTGAACTTGAGGAAGTTGATGATGAGGATGCTGGTGCTTCAAAAGGTCCCATCAGGTCTAAGAATGAAACAGAGGTAATAGATTGTAGCTTTTGGTTATGTATTTTATCTTTATATGACTTTTGATAGTTTAGTAATTGTTTTCTTGATTTTTAGATACTTGTGTATTTGTATAATGTTTGTATGATTGTTCTGTGTTTCTGAATGGTGTCTAATATTTCCAAGGTGTTAAAGTTATTATTTTGGCTCAGTAAGATGGCAGATTAAGTTTGTAATGAAACCATGTCATAACCACTCAAATTACTCTAGGCTGTCTCGTAGGAAATATATGCATTCATATACTTTCATGTCGTAATATTACTTACATTAACCTTGTCTACAACCGGAGCCTTATTTGGTTAAGTTTGGAGTTTAAGTCAGCAAAACTGAAAGGCATATGTTCCATGCAAAACGTTGAACTTTATTGCAGTGTGATTCTTGTTTCCAGAGATCAGGCTCTTCAGCGCACCCTGTTCTTGCCCCTGGAAACCTATGTCTAGACATCTCTTGTATGCTTTCTGTAATTCTGAACCATTTGAAGTTTGTAATGAAACTAGGTCATATCCACTTAAATTACTCGAGGCTCTCATAGCAAATCTGTGCATTCATATACTTCCATGTGGTAATCTCACTATAACCTCATGTCTACGATCGGAGCCTTATTTGGTTAAGTTTGGAGTTTAAGTCATCAAAACTGAAAGGTATATGCTCCGTGCAAAACGTTGAACTTTATTGCATTGTGATTCTTGTTTCCCAGAGATCAGGCTCTTCAGCGCACACTGTTCTCACCCCTGGAAACCTATGTCTAGACATCTCTTGTATGCACTCTGTAATTCTGAACCATTTGAAGTTTGTAATGAAACTATGTCATATCCACTTAAATTACTAGAGGCTGTCTCATAGCAAATCTGTGCATTCATATACTTCCATGTGGTAATCTCACGTTAACCTCATGTCTACGCTCGGAGCCTTATTTGGTTAAGTTTGGAGTTTAAGTTATCAAAACTGAAAGGTATATGTTCCGTTGAACTTTATTGCATTGTGATTCTTGTTTCCCAGAGATCAGTCTTTTCAGCGCACTCTGTTCTAACCCCTGGAAACCTACTTCTAGACCTCTCTTGCGTCCTCTCTGTAATTCTAAACCATTTGACAAAAATAGCTATTACTGAAGTTAAAATTTTGGCAAGGTATGATGCCTGAGTCAGTTTTGAAAAAATTCTGAGTAAACGATATTAAATTCGGCAGGTTCTCCCCCCAGTTCCACCACTGGATGTTGAACTACAACCCCATCACCAAATGCTGCCTGTTGGAGTTATTTTGTCGGTAAGCTCAAGTTGGATTGTCTATTGCAAACTACAAAGGCCAAACCTTGAAGTTTATTCAAATTTTATTAACTCTCATATACTTATGTTTCAGAGATTGGCCACTTTTTTCTGCCGAGTTTAAGTCTAATGATGTTCCTTACACTGTTACAGATGGTTGGTACCAAAGTTATTGTTGAAGGAAGAGATCGGCACAACCCTTTGAACGAAGGTTCTATTCTTTGGATATCCATGAACAGATCTCCACTTGGATTTGTGGATGAAATCTTTGGACCTGTAAAAAACCCATACTATATAGTACGGTATAATTCTGAGAGTGATGTTCCTGCTGGGATCCATGAAGGCATTTCTATATCTTTTGTTCCCGAATTTGCTAATCATGTTCTCAACGATAAGAATCTTCACAAGAAAGGATATGATGCATCTGGTGAGAATGATGAAGAGTTGTCAGATGATCCCGAGTTTTCGGACGATGAAAAAGAGGCCGAGTACAAGAGGATGCAAAAAAGGACAAAGAGAGGCATGAATAACCAGAGAGTGGGAAACCAGAAAAGCAATAAGAAGAAAGTTAGAAGTAAGAATGGAGTGTGGAAAACTGATAGGAACTCGGCCCAGCAAACATCAACAACAGCAATGGGTCAACCTCCACGTAATCAGAATCAACATAATCTCTCCACAGTCTCGGCATCTTTGGTCAATCATAATGGTTCATCGACTGTCGTGGGACAAATTTGTTGGTGGATCCGACTTTGTCCCACCATTTCCTGTCATGCCACCGTCTTCTGGTATTGTTGCACCTTCAAATGGAGTTTGGAATAATGGAATGCCAGTCCAGCATTCACAGAAGGGATGTCAGTGCTGTCACAGAATTATCCACAGCATCCTATTCCTTCGCCAAACCCTGCAATATCTATGCCAAACATGATGTCATATCAGCAGCAGCATTTTGACCCGAGTTTGAGTACACTAGCCAATATGGTCTTACCTAGTGGTCAGTCGAGCTTATTTGCTGGACCGGCCTCTGCACCTTGGCTCGGAATTGCTGGTCAAAATAGCTTTAACCAAAGCCCATTTGGAATGGGTATGCATGCCCAACAACTCTTTAGTGCATTACAAGGTATTGTAACAAATGGGCCTAGAGTGGATGGGAACTGTAATTTGCAACCCAATGGTGTTCAAGGCAACTTTGAATCATCCCATAACTTTAACATTGGTGCACCATCTAGTCGTGGAAGAAAACCTTATCATCAAGGCCGTGGACGAGGCGGAAGAGGTCATCGGCGATCTTAAGAGAAATGGGCCTTCCGGTGTTGCTTGATATAGGTAAAACCGTATGTTTGGTGTTCAACTTTTTGTTGGATGTTTGAAATATGAGAGATTTAAGGTAGCATTGAATATTCCTGTTTATATTAATCAAGCCTATTCAAGTTTCAGTTCCCAATTCTTTCATATCTATTGAAGGTGCCGTGTTCATGTACTCGGAAACCAACAATAACAACTGAGGCTGAAATCAGAAGAGGGAGGCCGTGAAAAGAATAAAAATCATCCCATTTTTAGCTTCAAACATATGACAAACATCAAGATTTATATCATCATTTTATCATTCAAACATATATATTTCATGCTTCTGCATCCCAATACACGTGCTTGATTCTTCATTTTCCCGAAATGATACCCATCTAGCTTAGTTGGTAGAGCGCAAGGCTCTTAACCTTGTGGTCGTGGGATGAGTCCCACTGAGGACAATTCATAACGGAGGTCTTTCACGGAAGCTTCTCTCAACCTAGCGTTGAGGGCAACCTATTACCCTACCTTTCCCTTATCTCATTACATATGAGAATAGGGTCAGTTAATTATACATCGCAAAATAAACAAAATAGATTATGCCAGACGAGTACATTGTTATAACTAGGAATGTTGGAATGAAATTCAGTAAAATGCTGACTGAGATTACATGGTCACATGCAAAAGATAAAGAACAAAATAGAGCATTTTTCAAATAGCAGCCAAGTATACTTGCCGGTTCTAAGCTGTAATCCTTCTCCCATACTCAAAAGAGTTCATTGCTTCTCGATTCTTCGACATCGTTCGAATCATTGGTTGCTTCACCATTGGCAGCAAGTTTGGTAAAACCATCAGCTGCTCTTTCAATCGACTGATTAGCATTACTCACAGACTCTACATCATTCTCAATCATATCATCTCCATTTACTTGATCAAGCAACACCAGGCTCTCCATGAAAGTAGAAACATACGAGCGTGTTCCTTGAATCCCAAAAAAACCAAGTTCACTTCTCTCAGGATCAAGGGAAACCAGTTGCAGATTATCATAAGCTCCTAATATCAAATTCCCATTTTTCATAAACCCCAGAACCCTTGGCATCGGCTCAGGGCCTGGATTCGCAATACTGAACATCTTAGTCCAAGTTTCTACAACACCATATTTCTTCATCACCCATATATTACACTGAGTATGTAAACGCCCCAACTCAACCACAGCAATTGATGACAATTCTTCATATGGAATTACATATATCTCTGACTGGTTGGGCAAATTCCTCAAATTCCCAGGCAACATAATCTCTTTGAAAACATCATCCCTCATATCAAACCCCATAATAAAATACTTACACCTATAAACCCCTTGATCTTCCACTCTTTCATAAGCAATCCAATGAACAATTCCATTCACAAAAACCATGAAATCGTCGGAGTAAAGACCATATCTTAGCGGAGCTAAAATTCGCCACGAATTCCTTCTGAAAGAGTAAAGCTCAACCTCAACAAACATGTCCAATACATTTTCCTTGGTGATTTTCAGAAGTTTATAGTCATTTTTCACGGAATCAAACCCAAACCCAACGGAAATTTTATACGGTAAGTTACGCAAACATGGTTTTGGGAGCGCAATAGACTTTTTAATAATTGGGTTGCAGAGGGTGAAGATTATATCGAAACTAAACTGAAAGTCTATCAAACAGAGCAACCCATTGCAAGAACCAACAACAACAACAAAATGATGGTTATCAAATGGCATGTATTCTAACTGGGTGTACTTACTGAATTCTTGGTCATCGAAGTGCAACGAGTATTCAACTTGATGGCGGGCAGTCATGACAAAGAAGAGATTTTTGTTGTCGTTGTTGTTCCTGAAACGAAGCTTCGAGTGATGGCTGGCATGGCTGGAAATGAAGAATGGGTTCTTGACGAGAAAATTCCAGGATTTGGAAACGCACATGCATATCCCCAGGGATTTGGCTGGAAGTCTGTAGAAGATCTCCAGTAAGATTTCTTCGGTGATATGGTCCGGAAACGTTGCTTCTCTTGACATCCTTTCTGGGTCAGAATCTGTAATGCGAATTTCAATGGCTGGTTTTTTGTGTTTCTTTGTTGTGTATTGTTTGGATGGAGAGAAAATGGTAGCTCTGTTTTTCTACTTTCGTCGGTTGATAATATTGTTGCTTCACGGCTCTCCCTAGTCCTGGAAGTAAAGATTACGATTCATTTAACTGCCTTATAAATATCTGGCCAAATGAATAATTATTTATAAATATCTTGCCCTCTGATTAAATTAAGGAATATAATTTCGAATCTCTAATAGTTTTTTTTTATAAATAATTTCACTATAACTTTTTTAAGAATAAATTACATAAATAGCTATTAAAGTATCCGTAAATCTTCTTGTTAATATTAAAGTTTTAAAAATAATAAAATAATTAATAATAATAATATTTTATTATAAATTGATCACTCGTTCATTAAATATTATATTTCTATCATAGAAAATTAATTTAACATATCTAAGGGGAAAGAATAAAGAAAATATATGATTTAAATCCATCTCTTAATATGACATTTAAATTAAAATAAATTTGGAGAAACCTACCAAAAGTGAGATTTAAATTAAAATAAAATTTATAGAGAGATTCACATAGGATGTGAGTAAAGATTTTAAGTTTTTTTTAAATAATTGTAAATATTCAATTTATTTATTAATTGATCTGAATCGAGTGTTATAAGATCCATCATAAGGTAACTCTTTCAAGTTAATTTATTTCATTTACAATGTTAAGATTTAAATTTCAGATTTTATTTAATGAATCTAATATCTTATTACATAAGACCAACTAATTATAATATATTTATAATATTATTATTTTTATAGTGTGATGTTAACGTATGCTAACACGAAAGTTTAAAAAAATATTCTTTTTATTTCATCACAGAATCCTTTTTATCAAAATTATAATATTTCATCATAAATAAATAAAAATTAATGTTTCATTAATTTTAAATCGTAGTAGAAACCGTCACTTTTTGATATCTTTTATGTCCACCTTAAATATTAATAAACTTTTTCTATTACCTTTTACATTAAATCGATGTCTTTATCTCGTCCTCGAATTAATAAATTTATTTACCATTTAACGATGCTTGACATAATTAAATTTAAAATTTAATGTTACAATTATATAAATTTATAATTTAATAATATTTTTTTAAAAAAAATTACATAATATGATATGATTTATACTTAAGTTCATACTTGAGCATATTTATCTATATCAGAATTCAGAATAAATATTTAAAATTGATTATGGTAAAGCTGGGGTGAAACCCTAAAATAAAGGTTACAAATACGAACCCTGTAAATAATTGAGGTCACGGCTCAATGAAAGCCTGCAAGCCAAATCATTTCGTGACATGGAGGCAGAGAATTTTTTATCACCTCTACTTTATTTGCGTTTAATTTTAGTATTTCTCACTCTCTTCTATTTCATTCATTATACTTATAATTTTTTTATTTGTTTACTACCTTTCAAATTACTTCTATTTTGGTCATTTTGAATTATTTTATTATTATTTTGACATGATATGACATTTATTATTATTATCTTTATTTTAAATCATTTTTATATTAAATAATCATGATAAATGTCATATCATACCAAAATAATAATAAAATAATTTAGAGTGATCAAAACAGGAATAATTCAAAAGTTTATTGAGTAAATTGAAAAACTTAAAAGTACAATAAGTAAAATAAGAGAAAGGGTAAAATTTAGTGAGAACTAGTGTAATTTACCCTTTAATTTTTCTGGTTATCTTGTAATTAATTCTGTTGTTTTATGTGGTCCATTTCCCTCTTTATCAAAAAGATTAATTTTAGTTGTAAAAAATTGTAACTAAATTTGATAAAATAATTATATAAATAATTATTCATCAAACTGAGAATCTCTTATAATTTTAATATTATAATGTATTTCTTTCTTCTATATTTACTTAAATCTGGTGAATTTTTATTTTTTTTACGCTCGTTTCTCACTTTAGCTGTTATTTGAAGATATTAATTTTTTATCCATATTATTATTATTAATATTATTATTACTATTATTATTATTATTATTATTATCATTATTATTATTATTATTATTAAATATATATTAAACATATATATATAAATAATAATTACATACCAATTACAACTGGACCGGCCCAGTTACAAACCAACCATAACCGATCCAAATCAAACCAGAAACCCTAAACATTTGGGTTTCCAGTTAGGGTTTCCTAACCCTAATCTAAACCAGCCGCCTCATCACAACCGTTGGATCTGGCACGATCCAACGGTCCAGATGGCTCCAGAGGGAAACCCTAGGGTTTGATACCCTAGGGCCACGCGGCGCCGCCCCAGTTTCCACGCGGCTGTCGGCACTTTCTCGTCGCCTCCGCCGCTGCCACGTCCCGAATGAAGACTCCAGAAGATCAACGCTAGCCGTCCATGCAAGGCTACGGGGTGAGTCACCACTGGTAGTCCGGTGACTCACCGAGAGCCCTTC